AATATTTAATTTTATTTTATTAAATTTTTCAGAAAAGACTTCACCGAAGTAAAGACCTGAAATAATTTACATTAAAACAAATATATAATTAATAATATAATTATTACAAAACAAAGATTATAAAAAAGTTTTATATTTGAAGGATTCGAAATGAAAATACAAATAATTTTCGACCAAAGAAACAGACTTGGAAATAGTCGATATAAAAAAAAAATAAAACAGGAAAAGAACAAAAACCAATATTTTTTATGATATAAAAAAAAATAAGAAATTCACACGAAAACGAGAATGTACTAAAACATCATATTTGAAATATTATGAAATATGTTTTTATCTGACATTTTTCACATTACTTCACAAACACTTTGGCTTAAGTATTGATGCCAAGGAAAAATAACAATAAACTAATAAAGTTATATCTTAAAATTTCAAAAAAAATTATGAGAAATTTAAAATTTTATTTAATTCGAAAATTTTAATATGATTTATAGAATATTTTACCATAGATATCTTCAGGGACGGATATATTTGTATGAGGACTCGAAACATTCACAGTTTAGATACCCTTGTAATGAATAACGCCCCTAAAAATAATTTTCTATAGTATATTTTTTTATTTTTTATTTTATATTTATTTCATATTATCTGTGTTTCATTATTACGGGGTTATAACGCAGTGCATAATATAATTATTTATCTGACGTAGTTTTAGCATTTAAAAAATAATAATAATAATCAACTTGACCATTATTCCCTGGTTTCAGTTATATTTTATGAATTAAATAATGTAATTACTTACATTAATCTTGCAGATCATAAACTACAATTCAAACATAATAAAGTGAAGTAATAAGTGTTTCATTCGATTTGAAGTGTAATTTTACTCGTAATTAAAATATAATTTATGAAAAATCTAAACTTAGTTCCAAAATCTCTAATCTTAACAGCTAAAGTATTGTTATTTTTTTCTTCTATTGTATACAATACGATGCGTCACCAGAATGATTGGCAAATGAGATTCTATTTGTTTAATGTATTTTATCAATTTTTTGACTGAAATTGTTTTTATCATTTGTTTTCTTTATGATTAAATAAAATTTACACCCGCCATTTGATACTAAGACAAGACTTGATAGTTTATGTAAACAAACATCAATCTGAAATCTAATACCAAACGACCTTGTAAATACAGAATATTCGGTTTCAACACAATTCTCACTGCTTAATATTTTCTTTTATAAATTTTAAATTTTTAAACTCAATAAATAAACGTTTCTTATAGCATTAGACTAGTTATATTGGTGATTTACTTCTTCTTAGGTTCATTTTCTCATTACGTAAACTATAATTACGCTTAAAAATATTATAAAATTTTTTAAAATTTGCATTTTAACTTTGTTCATTGTTTCTTCTTTGTATTTATTTGGTGTATATTTTTTTGTTGATTTATCTACTTAAGTTCTTAGTACACTATGAGGTAATAGGTTCTTATGCGAAAAACAATAACTAATTAACTAAATTATAAGCTTCAAATGTTTGCACGATATTTATGAAAAATACAAAAGAAAAAAATTAAAAAATCACATTTCCTTTAAACGTTTTTCATTTCAGTAAGAATGTAATTAACAAACTTCCTAAAAATTTGTTGACATGTCATTTTTACATTCCCTCAGTGTATACAAAGGACGTGAAAAGAAAATGGCATGATATTTCTAGTTCTTTGTCTTCATTATATATTTTAATTAATATATTTCTTACTTAAAACTTTCTCTCCATTTTTAACAAAGATACAAAAAAGTCTAACTTTAATTAAGTCTTATAATAAATTTTTGCCACGTTATACAATATCATCGCACTGGATCTATGAGCTCCACAAACAGATATTAATGTTTTATTTCAAGTGTAACTTATATACAATTTCAAAATGTCAGGATCTAAAAGTGACAATTCGACATGTTTTTTTATGGGCACTCTCACATTTGTGTTTTTATGATAAATATTCGAAAACCTTATCTATATGGATAGGCTATAATGATTTCTAGTAGCACTGTATTGTCCTATTTAAGAATTGTTTTACTTTTATAATTTGAGTAATTGCAAAAGAGGTTCTTAAACTTGGGTGACACTTGCATCCTCTGCAATAACTGACCAGCAGGCCTTACAGTCACAAGCATTGGTTTCTTCAACTACACTACCATGCAAGTGTTGCTTTCTTACATTTTGTCTCTATCATCTATCTACTCCCATCTTACATTCTCTCCCGTTTTTTTCTCTATTCATCTTTCCAACCCTCTTCCAAAGCCAAGCAACTCGAATACTATTCGAGTTGCTTGGCATACAAATAAAAAACACATTTAAGAGACTCAAATAAACAAAAATGTTTTGTATACGAATTATAAAAGCAAATTTTAATATAAGTTTTTTCTAATTTAGAAAAAAAAATGTTTATTGTTTAATATACAAACGACTAAAATTAATGTTCAAGATGAATTTTTAGAAAATTTAAGCATTTTTTTAAATTGTTAGCTCTATATAATTTGATTAAAAATCGTATTGGAGATAATTTCCTTTTATTTAAACAGTATACGATCAATATATTTATAAAAACGTAATAAAAAAATAACAAAATTATAAATAAATTTTTATAATTTTTAATTCAGAAAATCAATTCAAGAAAATATTAAAAATTAATAAATAAAGTTTCGATTTATATAATTTAAAACAAATGATTTAGTGTCTAAAATTGTCTTTTAAAAGATCTCGAGTTAAAATTTATCTACAGTTTAGCATAATAATATTAAAATATTAAAATTAAAAGTTTCCGTTGCATTTAAAAATAATGCAAAATATTATGCTAAGGAATATTTACATAAAGAAAAGTATTTCTATCTACAACAAATTTTAAAATGTATTATTTATGAATATAATGGATAAGGCGAGTTGGATGGAGATAGAGTTAGCAACTATAAAAAGATGCCCAATATTTGAGTTAAGAGAAAAATATTTCTCATGCAAAACTATGAACATTCAAACCTTCAACAGAGTTATATCTCGAATACAAAAATGTTTTCAGCAAGTAAAAGAGGAAAAAAAATTTTACTGCTAACTCAAATATTGGATGATCTCTCCAGTGAATAACTCTCTTTGACTTATCCTGTAGGCTAATACTTAAGAAATGGAGAATTATATTTCTCCAGAAAATTTTTAAAGAAAACATGAAAAAAAAAAATAATAAAAAAATGTTGCCCTCTTGGAAACTTAATCCTCTGTTTTCTTCAATCGAACACTAGCATTTAATAGTAAATTATTTTATTAGAAATTGTTAATTGTGACCGTACGTGATATTATATATTGCAAAATAAACGCTTTGAAATCTCTATTGAAATAACATTAGTATGTTTTACTCTTATATATAAACACGGGAAGGCCTAGTCGTTTAAGGCCTCAGCCTATCGCACTGGGAGATCCAGGATCAAATGGGGGGGTCGTAAAAGTCTAGGAATCTTTTCTGCCCCCCCGGACTACTTCCTCAACACTCGGCTGCCCCAATGTGTGCCTGGTTGAACCGGTAATTCGTATAGAAAAAAGGCCCCCATAGTGTCTACAGGGATTTCAAGAAGATACGTAAAAAAGTTGCTGTTTTTTAATATTAATCCTCTGCTTCTCTATTAAATATATTATACATTTTTACATTACATGTTTACATTAATTATCTTCCTTTTATGATTGACTTCTAAAATTGTAAAAGGTTGGTAAGGAACCTCACACAGAGTTCATCTTAGGGTCTCGAAATGACTAAATTCGTCCCTGATTACACTATTTTAATTTATTTATAGCTCACTAATTTCGATGATTCTGTATATTAAAGATAAAATCATGCCAAAACTTCTCTTGCTTTATCATTAGCATCTTCTTTACATTAATAAATACAGCAACATGCTCTTTATCTTGTAAAACATTACAAGAGAAGGAACAGCGTATTAATTACATTTTAAATAAATAAATAAATAAAAATACACAAGAAAAAAATGTATTCTAAAATTTGAAAAGCAAACAAATTCATATAATATTATAATATTTATTTACAATTTTAAATTTGGAAACATTTCTTAAATCAAATAAAGTTATAAATTATTATTATTTTTTTAAATTGCAATGTTTAATATTTTAAAATCGAAAATAATGTATGCTAATAAATTTATTTTAAATTAAGAAAAAACAACTGAGTGAAGATAACTTACATTTTTAATATCGTGCAACGAATGTAAATTATAATTTTTGTGAATTCGATAATCTTAAATTATTTTAGAATAACTTACACTGAGACGTTAACACTACTAGAAAAAAAAGGAGTTAATACATTTTTAAAAATTTTATCCAATTATGTAAATTTCTTTTCATTTTATATTTCTAAAAATCTACAACATACTCAACTGAAGTTTATAATCAGATAATATTTGTCATCTGAAAAGGGATATACTTTATTTCTCTTCGAATGAAATAAAAAATATATTTTTCTACACAAAATTAAAGACTTTTTATTCATTTATTAATGCTTAAAATTATTCGAAATTTGAAAAAAAAAATATATTTTTTTTTAATGCCTTACTAAGAGCACCATTACTTTTCTCTATCAGCCACAAGATTTTATAATAGCATAAGAAAAATAAATGTTGAAAAAACTTTTAATGTAAAATTTAAGTGATGTGTAGGAAACTAGAAACCATTCTTTCTGTAAAAATTGATTCCAAATATATTGCCTGTCACGTTTCTTAAGTAGTTAATCCAACTTTTTAACATAGAATTTTCGGGATTTATGTAAAGAAAAACAAACAAATGAAACACTTAATAGCATAATGTATTTATTCGTTACTTTAAAATAAAATTTGTTTATATTTTTTTAATGTTACTAAAAAAAAGTAAATTTTTAAAAGGCAACCTTTAATTCCTTTATGTACATAAAAGCATAAACTTATACACATCTATAAAGCAATCCTTACCTGTAACAGTGAGTGTACTTTCCAATCTTTTCTCTCCTGCACTATTATTGACTATACAAATATAAATACCGCTATCTCTGATATTGGTTTGCTGAAAATAGAGTGATCCACTTGCAACTAATAATCCTACTCTTTGCTCGATCGGTATGAGACGACTTTTGATTTTCTTGTACCATCTAACACGTAAAATTAATATAAAAACATATTATAAAATTGATTTTTCTGATGTCTATAATATAATATATGTAGGAATGCTGAAAAATTTATGATGAAAACATTAAGATTTTTATATATAAAATCTGAATCGGGTGAAATGTATAAATTCATTGATATACAGTATTTATGTCTGTTTATTGTGTGTGTATATATATATATATATATATATGCATATTTTAATAAATCCCTCTGAATAAAAATAAATATACTGAAACATTGAAATACCATAAATATATACAAAATACAAACAAATGGAAATCTATTTACATATACACACAATAAACATACATGAATAGCTTACTATATATACATACATATATTTTATACATAATATGAACATATCATATAATAACATCCTCTCATATATGTGCTATTTTTAGAATGCTCTTGATACAAGAAACAGAAATTACTGAGAATCTGGTATAAGATAATATGGCATTTACTAAGACTCTCGTGTTGCATTTGAATATACACCAGTAATTATATCTAGTCACACTAACTTTAATAAATATTATAAGAAAATTGATTTATAATTATTTTTAATTTTTAGTATTACTATCAAAAAGAAATTTCATTCGAATTTCGGCTTTGGTATCAATTATATCCTTAATTAAACAATGTAAGAATGCCAAAGAATAAATAAAAGTAAAAACAACTATACAACAAAAAAAAAACAATTTCTTTAATCTGATTACTAACACGAAAAGAGGATATACTATCGTAAGTACAACTTCCTGTAATTAACAGCACTATTTGTTTTTTCTTACTTACTCCTAGAGTTTGGTAATAGACTAAAGGGGTTCATGATGACTAACCACGTTTCCCTTCTATCAGATTGACTCATAAAGAGTTTTACGGCAAATTACATCGAGTCACAACCTCTGTATCTTCCCAGGTATAGAAGAAGATGGTAGAAATTCCTACAAGTAATTACCTTCAAAATACAGCTATCTTGGGAATTTAGATCCATACCTAATTTTCCATGTTCTTACAACGTGCATTTCCCCTTTGGCATATTGAAATCTCGGATAGTTTTACTCATAAATTATATTTAAGAGCATTCTGTTTACTATTTTTTTTTTTAGAAAAATTTTTTAATAAATTTTTTCCTCTTTTTTAAATTGAACTTCAAATAGAAAATCAATAGATTTTTGTATTATAAATTCTAACAAGATCCTAAGATAAAGTTGAAGTTTTTTAAGAACTTACTGAAGCTATATATTTGGAAATTTATTATTTTTAAAATTACTTAAATGAAAAATCTAAAACTTTTATATTAAGGGAAAAAAACACACACAATAAATGAGTCATTTATTATGTAAATTTTTAATTAAACTAGTTGACTTACCTGTAAGTAGGTAAAGGATAAGCTTGAGCAACGCATGTCAGTTCTGCTGGACTGCCTTGTTTTACATGCACCATAACTCTGGTATCTGATAAACGAGGTGGATGTGTACCTTGGGGATCTGATAAAAACATTTGAGTTAAAATATCCGAGATATTTTAACGATTAAAATCACAATTTTTAATTTTAATAAAGAATTCCTTCTAAGGAATTAAATCAGGCTACATAAAAGAGCGAGAAAAATCTCTCCGCGGTATTAAACTATTTAAATTAAGTTAAAAATTGAATGTAGGTGTTAATTAACACTATTAAATAGAAATTAAATGCGAGTATTTATGTTTTATATATATATTTTTTTAAGTTTAAAATTGAAGTAAATCTTTGATATTTATTTTATATTTTATTCGAATTTCGAGACGAATGAGTTATTATATTTATGGCTGATGTAGTATTAACAAACGGAGTATAAAATAAAATGAAAAGGAATGATAAAATAAGTTAAATAAAAGAAAAAGAAAAATAGAAGAAGAAAAACACTAAAGAACTTTTAAGTTTATAATAAAAGCAAGAGTTTAGTGAATTGGTGCAATTGTTAAATGGTAGAAGTATCAAGAAAATAAGAGAAAAAATAAATAAATAAGCTGCAGACACGAACTAATCCAAGATAATTGGAAGATTTAGGAATTGTTTGTTTATTTTCTCATAGAATAAATACCGATTTAAACATTTTATGTTATTATTTAACACTTAAAACAACAGTAAAAAAAAATATTTAAAATAAAATATATTTGCTAAACTATTCGTTGTCTTTAAAACTTATTAAGAGAGGATGAAGATAGTTCATTTTCTCCTGACAGCCAAGTGATGTATTACTGCAGGAGATGTAATTAGCTCAAGTCTGGTGTTAGTCCAATGTCAGAAAGTACTTCTCACTCCACATGAAATGACTTCATCAGATCTCGGCACGGATAAAAGTGTTGTTGAATTTAAAAATTTCAATCACCAATTAGCAGAGAAAAGTTGTTTATCAAATAATTCTTAAACTTAGTAAGAATTAAGTTACATGACAAAAGCGTATCCAGTGCAAGATACTAATTGAATCTATGATCCAGAAGATTACACAGAGCATAGCTGTTCACCAACACAACCGGTAAATTAATATCGTAAATCCATAAAAATGTACAGAAGAGGTTGAGTTTATGCAATTTACAATTAACAATTAAGGCGCTATGTGAACTATGTGCATATTCGGGTGCGCCTTAATTAACTGAATAAATTATAGATCATCTCTACATTAATTATTACATTAATTTAGATTAATTATATTAAGTTAAAGAACAGCGAAAAATATAGTCAAATTATAATCATATAAAAATAAGTTTCTCGTTAATTTACGTTGTTTATTTAGGAAAATTTTGTTCAAAATAAATTTATTGTTTTAATTAAGACGGGTATAATAAATTGTAAATGAACAACACATGCTTATAATAATTTTGAACTGTCGGTGATTTGTTGTTGCAAAACTATCGTTTATTATTAAAATGTTGCTAACAGAACATTTTAAAAAAATATATAGACCTATATAAATATAAATTTTAAAATATACAAATTGATTTGTATATAAATACAGAGACTGTAGGAGACGGTTAGAAGGGAAAAATTAATTTGAAAGTAATGCACGAAAAAAGTAAGAGATTTTCACGAAAATTGATTAAAATAACTATAAATAGTTAGTCATTTTTCTTCTATTTCAATTAATAATTGTTAAAATAATACCATTTAAATATTTACTTCTGCTTTCTTGTCTGTAGGGTGGCTCAAAAGCCAGTTAACCATTGTAAAGACTAAATTGGTATTTATTCTTTACAATAATTGACTGACTTTTGAGCCACCCTATATACAAAAAATCAAAAAGTAAATATTTTAAATTTTAACAATTATTAATTGAAATAAGAAAAAAATATATTCGAAACATTACAAATTGCTGAAGAGCTTGCTAAAAATTCGATTACCTAACTTTTAGGACACTATGTATTATATAAAAGATACTATTGATATTTGTAGATATATTGTAATTTAAAATTACATTTTAATAATAATATTACCTGTTATAATAAGACGACCAGACGTTCTACTCATTTGTATTTCTCCACTCAAAAGATGCTTGGTGGCACATCGATAGGATTTAAAATCGGACATGATAGTGTGACGTATGTGAAGTTCTCCATTACTTAGCACGCTGTATCTTCCACCTGCATTATAAAAAATTTCACTGAAGATTAAAATAATTTAATAAAACATTAAGAGATTGCATAAAAAACAATAATAATAATAAATTCACTGGAAAGATCGTGATCGATTCGTAGTGTATCTTTATATGTCATGCATTAATCATATCAAAAATGATAAAATGGAAAACAAACAGGAAAGAGATGATCATGTACACAAACAAGACTAATGTGCCAGGGCAAACTACATATTGCATTAAGGATAAACAGTGATCATAGAAGTTTAGGCAGAATTTCAGGATCTACAAATATTTGGTCAAGTTTGCAGGAGGATCACAAAGTAAAGAAGAATTTTCCTTTATCTTTATTATTATTATTATTATTATTATTTTATTTAAAANTTTACGAAAAATCTAAACTTAGTTCCAAAATCTCTAATCTTAACAGCTAAAGTATTGTTATTTTTTTCTTCTATTGTATACAATACGATGCGTCACCAGAATGATTGGCAAATGAGATTCTATTTGTTTAATGTATTTTATCAATTTTTTGACTGAAATTGTTTTTATCATTTGTTTTCTTTATGATTAAATAAAATTTACACCCGCCATTTGATACTAAGACAAGACTTGATAGTTTATGTAAACAAACATCAATCTGAAATCTAATACCAAACGACCTTGTAAATACAGAATATTCGGTTTCAACACAATTCTCACTGCTTAATATTTTCTTTTATAAATTTTAAATTTTTAAACTCAATAAATAAACGTTTCTTATAGCATTAGACTAGTTATATTGGTGATTTACTTCTTCTTAGGTTCATTTTCTCATTACGTAAACTATAATTACGCTTAAAAATATTATAAAATTTTTTAAAATTTGCATTTTAACTTTGTTCATTGTTTCTTCTTTGTATTTATTTGGTGTATATTTTTTTGTTGATTTATCTACTTAAGTTCTTAGTACACTATGAGGTAATAGGTTCTTATGCGAAAAACAATAACTAATTAACTAAATTATAAGCTTCAAATGTTTGCACGATATTTATGAAAAATACAAAAGAAAAAAATTAAAAAATCACATTTCCTTTAAACGTTTTTCATTTCAGTAAGAATGTAATTAACAAACTTCCTAAAAATTTGTTGACATGTCATTTTTACATTCCCTCAGTGTATACAAAGGACGTGAAAAGAAAATGGCATGATATTTCTAGTTCTTTGTCTTCATTATATATTTTAATTAATATATTTCTTACTTAAAACTTTCTCTCCATTTTTAACAAAGATACAAAAAAGTCTAACTTTAATTAAGTCTTATAATAAATTTTTGCCACGTTATACAATATCATCGCACTGGATCTATGAGCTCCACAAACAGATATTAATGTTTTATTTCAAGTGTAACTTATATACAATTTCAAAATGTCAGGATCTAAAAGTGACAATTCGACATGTTTTTTTATGGGCACTCTCACATTTGTGTTTTTATGATAAATATTCGAAAACCTTATCTATATGGATAGGCTATAATGATTTCTAGTAGCACTGTATTGTCCTATTTAAGAATTGTTTTACTTTTATAATTTGAGTAATTGCAAAAGAGGTTCTTAAACTTGGGTGACACTTGCATCCTCTGCAATAACTGACCAGCAGGCCTTACAGTCACAAGCATTGGTTTCTTCAACTACACCACCATGCAAGTGTTGCTTTCTTACATTTTGTCTCTATCATCTATCTACTCCCATCTTACATTCTCCCCCGTTTTTTTCTCTATTCATCTTTCCAACCCTCTTCCAAAGCCAAGCAACTCGAATAGTATTCGATCATACAAATAAAAAACACATTTAAGAGACTCAAACAAACAAAAATATTTTGTATACGAATTATAAAAGCAAATTTTAATATAGGTTTTTTTAATTTAAAAAAAATATGTTTGTTGTTTAATATACAAATGATTAAAATTGATGTTCAAGATGAATTTTCAGAAAATTTAAGCATTTTTTTAAATTGTTAGCTCTATATAATTTGATTAAAAATCGTATTGGAGATAATTTCCTTTTATTTAAACAGTATACGATCAATATATTTATAAAAACGTAATAAAAAAATAACAAAATTATAAATAAATTTTTATAATTTTTAATTCAGAAAATCAATTCAAGAAAATATTAAAAATTAATAAATAAAGTTTCGATTTATATAATTTAAAACAAATGATTTAGTGTCTAAAATTGTCTTTTAAAAGATCTCGAGTTAAAATTTATCTACAGTTTAGCATAATAATATTAAAATATTAAAATTAAAAGTTTCCGTTGCATTTAAAAATAATGCAAAATATTATGCTAAGGAATATTTACATAAAGAAAAGTATTTCTATCTACAACAAATTTTAAAATGTATTATTTATGAATATAATGGATAAGGCGAGTTGGATGGAGATAGAGTTAGCAACTATAAAAAGATGCCCAATATTTGAGTTAAGAGAAAAATATTTCTCATGCAAAACTATGAACATTCAAACCTTCAACAGAGTTATATCTCGAATACAAAAATGTTTTCAGCAAGTAAAAGAGGAAAAAAAATTTTACTGCTAACTCAAATATTGGATGATCTCTCCAGTGAATAACTCTCTTTGACTTATCCTGTAGGCTAATACTTAAGAAATGGAGAATTATATTTCTCCAGAAAATTTTTAAAGAAAACATGAAAAAAAAAAATAATAAAAAAATGTTGCCCTCTTGGAAACTTAATCCTCTGTTTTCTTCAATCGAACACTAGCATTTAATAGTAAATTATTTTATTAGAAATTGTTAATTGTGACCGTACGTGATATTATATATTGCAAAATAAACGCTTTGAAATCTCTATTGAAATAACATTAGTATGTTTTACTCTTATATATAAACACGGGAAGGCCTAGTCGTTTAAGGCCTCAGCCTATCGCACTGGGAGATCCAGGATCAAATGGGGGGGTCGTAAAAGTCTAGGAATCTTTTCTGCCCCCCCGGACTACTTCCTCAACACTCGGCTGCCCCAATGTGTGCCTGGTTGAACCGGTAATTCGTATAGAAAAAAGGCCCCCATAGTGTCTACAGGGATTTCAAGAAGATACGTAAAAAAGTTGCTGTTTTTTAATATTAATCCTCTGCTTCTCTATTAAATATATTATACATTTTTACATTACATGTTTACATTAATTATCTTCCTTTTATGATTGACTTCTAAAATTGTAAAAGGTTGGTAAGGAACCTCACACAGAGTTCATCTTAGGGTCTCGAAATGACTAAATTCGTCCCTGATTACACTATTTTAATTTATTTATAGCTCACTAATTTCGATGATTCTGTATATTAAAGATAAAATCATGCCAAAACTTCTCTTGCTTTATCATTAGCATCTTCTTTACATTAATAAATACAGCAACATGCTCTTTATCTTGTAAAACATTACAAGAGAAGGAACAGCGTATTAATTACATTTTAAATAAATAAATAAATAAAAATACACAAGAAAAAAATGTATTCTAAAATTTGAAAAGCAAACAAATTCATATAATATTATAATATTTATTTACAATTTTAAATTTGGAAACATTTCTTAAATCAAATAAAGTTATAAATTATTATTATTTTTTTAAATTGCAATGTTTAATATTTTAAAATCGAAAATAATGTATGCTAATAAATTTATTTTAAATTAAGAAAAAACAACTGAGTGAAGATAACTTACATTTTTAATATCGTGCAACGAATGTAAATTATAATTTTTGTGAATTCGATAATCTTAAATTATTTTAGAATAACTTACACTGAGACGTTAACACTACTAGAAAAAAAAGGAGTTAATACATTTTTAAAAATTTTATCCAATTATGTAAATTTCTTTTCATTTTATATTTCTAAAAATCTACAACATACTCAACTGAAGTTTATAATCAGATAATATTTGTCATCTGAAAAGGGATATACTTTATTTCTCTTCGAATGAAATAAAAAATATATTTTTCTACACAAAATTAAAGACTTTTTATTCATTTATTAATGCTTAAAATTATTCGAAATTTGAAAAAAAAAATATATTTTTTTTTAATGCCTTACTAAGAGCACCATTACTTTTCTCTATCAGCCACAAGATTTTATAATAGCATAAGAAAAATAAATGTTGAAAAAACTTTTAATGTAAAATTTAAGTGATGTGTAGGAAACTAGAAACCATTCTTTCTGTAAAAATTGATTCCAAATATATTGCCTGTCACGTTTCTTAAGTAGTTAATCCAACTTTTTAACATAGAATTTTCGGGATTTATGTAAAGAAAAACAAACAAATGAAACACTTAATAGCATAATGTATTTATTCGTTACTTTAAAATAAAATTTGTTTATATTTTTTTAATGTTACTAAAAAAAAGTAAATTTTTAAAAGGCAACCTTTAATTCCTTTATGTACATAAAAGCATAAACTTATACACATCTATAAAGCAATCCTTACCTGTAACAGTGAGTGTACTTTCCAATCTTTTCTCTCCTGCACTATTATTGACTATACAAATATAAATACCGCTATCTCTGATATTGGTTTGCTGAAAATAGAGTGATCCACTTGCAACTAATAATCCTACTCTTTGCTCGATCGGTATGAGACGACTTTTGATTTTCTTGTACCATCTAACACGTAAAATTAATATAAAAACATATTATAAAATTGATTTTTCTGATGTCTATAATATAATATATGTAGGAATGCTGAAAAATTTATGATGAAAACATTAAGATTTTTATATATAAAATCTGAATCGGGTGAAATGTATAAATTCATTGATATACAGTATTTATGTCTGTTTATTGTGTGTGTATATATATATATATATATATATGC